GGGGGAAAGATATAAACTTCCCGGCCACGAGATTTGGGGATTGAGAAGTTTTGCGTTCCAGAGGGCTGGAGCAGGGAGCGGGGGGCTCGGAGTCGTTCGGCCCCTTCAGCAGCCTCACGCTCCCGGCAACCCACTTTGGGAGGTTGGTATTTTTTTATCCTAATAATTATTGGTAATTTTTTTTTAGCCGAGTATTTTAAAATTTTCTGGTACAGGTCGGTGGGGTTTGTTTGGGAAATGCTGTCGGTGCAGAACGGGAGGCAGAAGTGGAGACACGCAGAGCCGCTCCGAGGGAATAATCCCGCTTTAAAACAGTGGTGGAAAACCCTGTGGGTTTGGGTTTCAGGGTTGTTGGGTTTTTTTTCCCCAAATATGCTGCAAGTGTCTCTGTAATAATCACTTTACTCTATCGACTTGGCATAGTGTGCTAACGGAATGAGAAGACCATTAAGAGCATTAACAGATTGGTACAGCATAATGCTTCAGTTCATATTGATCGTAAAACGTCTGTAAAATATTGTTTCAAATGAATCTATTGTTCCTGCGCTCTTTCGGCGGTGTTGATGACCTTGGTTTGTTCTCCCACATCCAAATTATTCTTCCGCCGCTCCCGTACGGTTGGGGACCGGCCAGCGGGACCTGCCGCCGCCGTCCCCGCGGACCTTCACCTATCCAAAAGCGTGGTTTGAGGGGTCAGAATCACCTCAAAAATAAGAAAACATTAGAAATCGTTTCTGTAGGAGGGACGGGACCTGGTGTGAGTGTGCCCTGCGTGTGGGGAGCGGCTCGCCCGAGCCTCCCTCCGCTCCGCGTTGTGCGCGGCTGCCGAGAGAAAACCTCTCCCGGGATCACCTCCCCGGGAAGCCCCAGGAGTTGCTCAGAGGAGACTTTCGAAGCTGTTTAGACGAATATCAAGTCGAAGGGGATGCAGATCCTGCGGGCAGCCCCCAGCCCACATCCCGCGGGGCCGGCTCGGCCCGGGGTGTCCTGGGGGGACCCCGAGGAGCGCAGCCCGGGGCCTTTGGTGACCCTGCCGAGCTGCTCGTGCATATTTTACCGCCCAAATCAGCCAATCCCTCTCGATCTGAGCGATGCCTCGGATTTCAAACTCCCTGGCCCCACTCCCTGCCTCGCTGGAAGGGGCCGTGGCACGGCTGTTCCCCCGTGGGGACACGCGTGTCGCCGGGCAGAGCTCGGAGCGGCCCCGGCGCTCGCTCCCGCGGCTGTGGGAAGCGGCCGCTCGACAGGAATGAAACATCCGCTTCCCTCAGGTTTGGTCACCTGGTCTCGGAGCTCTCCTAAGCTCCGATATTTTAAATAAATATAAAGAATCTCTTGCTCTCCTCAGCTCTATTCGCCTTCATGATAGAGTGGAACCATCAGATTTTCATCAAAGTTCTATTAAGTGAAACATAGGTTGCAGGGCACCCTCTGATTGAAACAGTTTAAATTTTAATTGTGTTTTTAATTTGACATATAGTTGCAGAAAGGAATGACACTACAACGCCAAGGGGCGGTCGATTTTCTTAATTTCTCCCAGAGGAATTGATGAGTCTATCAGGCCACTAGATTGGAAACACATTAAAGCTCTCTGGTTAGGTTGTTAATTGGAACTTGATGGATAGGGGGCCTTGGATAGGCTATGCTGATCCAATCTTCATGACTTTCTGTTTTCCAATAAATTACACGATTCATTTTCCAGCCACAGATTACATAAATTGTACACCTCTAGGGCTCTCTTTTTCAAATAGGGAGCCCTTTTCCCCAAAAGCCTATTGCGAGATGTCATTTGCACCAAAAAACGAGCAGCAGAGGCTCTTGAATGAAAATCGAAACATAATCAACGTTTATACTTAGAAAATTTATTGAGATCATTTTCTCTGGTATTTCCTTATTTTAAAGTTTGGACGCGCCATATATCATAATCCACACGTGTAAAGGGGACTGTGTTTAATATTTATCGAAGCTTGATTCCAAGATCAAACTTGTTTATGACTTCATCTGTCATTTCAGAGGGAACCTTCTCCCGATATTACGGCCGCTCAACAAGCCTATTTTCCGAGTGCTGCAAAAGCAGCGGAGATCAATTTTTATTAGGCTCCCTTTGAAAGCTTGCTCAGGGCCACTTTAATATCGAGCATTGTAATAATCTGGAGATCTAAACTTTAAGCGTTCGCTCTGTCTTTCAAAGTTTATCTTTGCCGTGGCGTTTGATCATCGGTGCCCCGACGGGACGGGCCGCGGGGAGGGAGAGGGGAGAGCGGCCAGCTGCGGGTTACTCCCACGAAAAACCCTTCCCGTGGCCTGCAGCCCCTGCCCTGATGAATATTTGATCAGATGATAATGAGAGCTCGGCTGGGCCGCTCCGGCCCGCCGTTCCTCCCTTCCCGACAGCGCATCCCGCAGAATCTGCTTGGCTTCCTTCCCTCCCGAGCGGAGCGGCCGCTTTCTAAATTTGGCTTAAATAGTCATTTCAGGGAAATGTGGTGTTTTTCTGGCTGTGGCCGAGCAGAGCTCACGCTGCCCGCAGCGCTTGTTCATGCCCGCCCAGCACCCATCTCTCCGGCCAAACTTCGGAGCGTCCCCTCGGCCCGGCCGCAGCCACTCGTGCGGCTCCCAGGGGCAGGAGCCTCTCCCTGGGGAAGGGAGGGCAGTGCCAGGGGCACGCTGTGCTGGTGGCCTTCGAAGGGACGGAGCTGCCGTGGGCGGCAGCTGGAGGCCAGCGGTGCCACCGCAGTGTCACGTCTGGGGCTGCCGGAGGAGCGGGGTGGCCCTTCTGTCGCCTTCCCTCCCTGCACCGGGCCCGTCCCCGAGCGGGAGCCGAGGGCTGGCAGCCCCCAGGGGCTCTCCCAGGTCGGGCAGGTCCCCTGGACGGTTCTGACTCGGAGCCCACTTGCCCCGCTCTCCGCCCCGGGAGGGCTGCGGGGTCTGGGTGCGGGGCCAGCCGGGGCGGCAGAGAGGGATGAAGGACGATTTCTTAAATTGTATTTCAGTGCGGGGTCTTTCCGGGTTAATGAGCTGACATCATGATTAAAGCTGACCATTTGTAATGTGTCGCGACCCTGTTGAAAAGCACTGAAAAGGTTAATGTGGTAAAACAGGACAGCACCTGCCCCTCAGAGGGAGAGGAGGAGCTGGAACACTTTTCCTAATCAATTAGTCCATTAATGAGTCTATCAAGTAGTTAAGTAGTTAAAGATTATGCCGCTGGTCTGGGTAACAGTCGTCATCTCGCTATACCTAATTATATTATAAGTACTTTATTCAATATACCGGACATAATATGGTGACTCGGAGTTAATGAAAATGTCATTTTAAAACGTCTTGACATTTGTCTCTATTGATTTGTATATTTCCATCTCATTCTTTGCTTTCCCCTATTTGATTTTCTTCATTTTTTTCTTTTTTTTTTTTTTTTTGGAGGGGGGATTTATTTCTGGAGAGAGGGAATGACCGCACCGTGGGGGGAGGAATCAACAGCTGGAGCTCGCAGAGACCCCCGGCCCATCCCTCTCGGGCAACCCAGGGTTAAAAACCCCGTGCCACGGCCCCTGCCAAGGCCAAGGATATCGCACCTGGACACGGATGCGACCAAACCCACCAGGATTTCCGAGCTGCAGCAGCGCTTCCCACTCGCTCCCCTCCGCAGGAGCCTCACCGGCCGTAGCGGGGGCTGCAGCAGTCGGGGACGGCTGCGGGCTCGGGGACAGCCCCACCCACGGCCACGGGTGTCCGCAGGGGAGGAGGGCCCAGGGAGGGAGCTCATCCCTTGGCAGCCGCGGCAGCGGGGAAATGGAGAGGGCTACAGGGGAAGCGTGGGGCTGGGGTAGTGGGGCAACTCGGGGACCAGTCTGGCACTTTCCACAGCGGCCCCGTTACCGGGGCTCCTTCCTGAGGCTTCCCGGGGCGGGAGGAGGCACCGATCCCGCGCCGGCAGGATCCCAGCTCCCGGTCCCAGGCAGCCGTCGGGGCTCGATCTCCGCCTGGTACCTCAGGGAAAAGGGGGCTCCAGACCCCAGAACCGCGGGCCTGGGGAGGCTCTCGGGCTCCCAGCTGCCGCTCCGTCTGCTCTAAGGAAAGTGGTGGATCCTGGCGGGGTCCTTGCCCTCGGCCCCACGTTCCCTTTGGAACAGGTGGGACACAACAGCTGCCACCTGCAGGTTTTTCCTTCCGAGGGCAGGAAGAGGTTTTTCCTTTCCGAGGAAGGAAAAAGCTGCGATGGGTGTGATTTACACCCACCCCGCAAGGGAAGAGCCCCTGAGTGCTGACAAAGTTTATTTGGAAATGCAGCGGCACGTACCATCCCTCCCTGCTCCCCACGGCTTCCAGGCCCTGGGATGGAAACGCGGGAGGAATTTCGCGGGACATTTGTCACCGGCTGCAGCGCAAATCCCGGATTCTGGAAGGTTTCCCAGTGCTGCCGAGCAGGCAACACACTGTGACAGGTTTTTTTTTTCCCTCCTCTAATGAGGAGAAGGGTAAAGATCCCCGGATATGCACAAGGTGTTTATCCCGACACCCCCCGCCCCCGGCCGGCATAAGCCATTCAGCCCACGTCGCTGTCGCCCACTCGAGGTGGAGGGCAGGAGGGATGGCGGGCGGCCAGCAGCTCTCCTCCGGGGGTGCGGGGTCAGCGTAGCCCCCGGGAACGGCGGCGACGACCCGGCGGGGATCCCCCCTCCCCGCACCTCCCCATTCCCGGACCCCGCGGGTTTCCAAACTTTCCGTGGCCGCCGCAGTCGTGATTGGCGAGGCGGAGGCCACCTCCATGCAAATGAAGCCCCGCCGCCCGCCGCCCGCAGATCAATAGGGACGCGGGGGAAGGAGCATGCATTCCGCCTGGGCCGGCGCGGGGAGAGCCGGCCGCCGCACTCCCCAAGCGCCCCCCGAAACACCCCCCTGCGAGCGCTCCCCGCAGGTTGCCGGGGCACCCCCCTCCCGTGAGCCCCGAGCCCCTCTAAAGCGACAGCTTCCCTCCTCTGCTTTCTTATGAACCCAGGATGAGCAGCAAAGAAGACCCGAGCAAGTGCTGTCCGGCGGCTGCTCCCATCTCCAGTTTCACCATCCAGTCCATCCTGGGCAGCGGCAGTTCCGAGCCCCCCCGGGAAGCCGGCGACAGAGCGCCCGCCTGGCCCGCCCGCGCCCGGACCCTCTCCCTGTCCTCGGAGGACGAGGAGCCGGAGGAGAGCTGGAAGCACCGCGGCTGCTTCTGCCCCGAGGCTCAGGGCCCCGCCGAGGCGTGCCACAAGCACCAGCCCCTCAGCTTCACCTGTCTCGGTGAGTAGCCGGAGGGATGGGACGGGGCGGACGGGCCCCGCCGGGGAGCCCCCGGTCCGGCCCCCGCCGGGAAGAGGGAGGCGGGGGCACGTCGCACCTTCTCTGCTTTCGGGGCACAGAGTATTTGCGCCGTCCGTGGGTGAAGCGGGGAGGAAAGACCTCCAGAAAAATGGGGTGGCTTTTTTTTTCTTTTTTCTTTTCCACCCCATCCGGCGAGGATTTCCCCGAGGGATGCGGTGCAATCGATAACGCTCGTTTTCTTAGATTCCGATTACGGCGCTCGGGCAGAGGAAGAACGACGTTTATTTATTTATTTATTTATTTAGTATTATTTCTGAATAAACGGTCTGTGAAATGCGATGCTGTAAAGTAAAATTTGCTGGCTCGTGTCGGATAGGAAGCCTGGTACACAGATATTTTCACTGTGGCACGCACACCCACCTGTCCGTCCGTCCGTCCATCCATCCATCCATCCATCCATCCATCCATCCATCCATCCCTCCATCCATCCCTCCATCCACACATCCATCCGAGGGACAGGGATACCCAGGAGAGGATGGCCTCCCCTGGCGTCGGTCGTGTGTGTCCCCGGGAGCAGAGGCGGCGGCTCCCCGCCCGGGGTCTCTCCTCCGTCCTTTTTCCCTCCGGGACGGGGGGCTCGGCCGTCGGGGGTCCCGGTGCCGGCCGCCGTGCGACCCCCGCGCTGTCGCTCTGTTGCAGGCAGCGCCAAGGGGAGCGGAGCGGCGGCGGCGGGCAGCGGGGAGCGGGGGACCTTCCTCTCGCCTCCCCAGCAGGACTGTAAGGACGAGAAGGAGAAGCCGCTGGGACCCTCCTCGCCTTCCTGCGGGGACCGGCAGCGCGACGGCGGGGACCGGCAGGCCGGAGCCGCCAAGAAGAAGACGCGCACGGTGTTCAGCCGCAGCCAGGTCTATCAGCTGGAGTCCACTTTCGACATGAAGCGCTACCTGAGCAGCTCGGAGCGGGCCTGCCTGGCCTCCAGCCTGCAGCTCACCGAGACCCAGGTGAAGACCTGGTTCCAGAACCGCAGGAACAAGTGGAAACGGCAGCTCTCGGCCGAACTGGAGGCGGCCAACATGGCCCACGCCTCGGCGCAGACTCTGGTGGGGATGCCGCTGGTGTTCAGAGACAATTCCCTCCTCCGAGTGCCGGTGCCCCGGTCCATCGCCTTCCCCGCCCCTCTCTACTACCCCGGCAGCAACCTCTCGGCCTTACCGCTCTACAACCTCTACAACAAGATCGACTACTGAGCCCCGCGCCCCCCGCCCCGCGCCCGCCCCGACGGGACCCGCACCGGGAGCGGGGCCGGGGCCGCCGCGGGGGCTCCGTGCGGGGGCTCAGGCCGCCCCCACGGAGGGGACACAGCACCGAAACTGATGGGAGGGACGGGCAAACGGAGATTCCGGGGCGCCGGGGGCACCCCCGCTCTCCCCTCCTGCTATCCTGTCACTTGAAAAGAAAAAAAAGAAAAAAAGAATTAATTAAAAAAAGCGCGTTATTTCAGATCTGTAAATATTTTTAAAGAAAGTAAGAAAGAAAAAAAAAAATTAAAGCGTTTTAAGCCTCTTTTGTAAATTTGCCACCTCGGTCGCGTGTCCCCGAGGGGGACCCCGGCACCGGGGGTGCCCCGCAGCCGGGACGGGAAGGGCCCGCGGGGCCCGGGATTGATGCACGGGAGAGCCAAAACGACCTGTAACGCCGAGGGTTTATTTTCCCGGAATTTTTGCTCCTTATCTCGTTTCCTGCAGGGAATCCCAGCCGGGCCTGACCGTCCGCCCGTGCCGCGGCCGGCGGGGGCTCGCTGCCCTTCTCTCGGCTGGGAGATGAAGGGTATTTCCCGAAAAGTTTCGTAAACGGGCACCTTTTTTCTGTTTTTCGGAGTGTTTTAATAGAAACCGCGATGATGGGCTCTGTGCTACCGGGTTCGCACTGGGCATCCTCGACGGCTCCCCACGGGACACGGCCTCGATTGGTCACCCAAAAACGAGTAAATCCCGCGGCAAGTGGCGATTAAGCTGCGGCCACCGGCTCCGAGGTACGGCCCGTACCGAGCGCCGGGGGTGTCACAGCAACAGCAACAGCAACGAGGACAGCGGAAACCTAACCCCCGAAAAACAGAGAAATAAAATATTCGAAGGGATAAATAAGGCGTTTTTCAGTGCGGGGAAGGAGAACGCTCTCCCCACGCTCCGCAGGCGGTATTTGAGCTACAGACCCCTTGTCCCGGGGTAGCGGCAGCCGCGGTGGGGAACGCAGCCCCTCTTCGTCGCTCCGCCTTTCGGACTCTTTATTTTTTTTTTAGGGGTAATAACTCGTATTTCGGGTTTTATCTGTTTCCACTGCTAAAGCCCAGCAGCAGCCTCTCTTTCCCCGCGGCGCCAGCCCGTGCAGTTCCCTCGGGAGCATCTCCCGGGCCCCTCCGTTACCGGCCGGGATGGGACGGGGACAAGGGACCGACCCTTACGCGCCTCCACTGCCTCAGGAGCGGCGAACTACAACTCCCGGCACCCCCCGCGGCGGCGGGCTCGCGGCGCACGCCGGGGACGCAGCGTCACGCGCGTTCAAACCGGCCAATCGCGGGGGGAGGGCCGCAGTGCGCGCGCGCGGGCGGCGGCGGAGGCTGAGGTGAGGTCGGGAGCGGGATCCGGGATCGGGGGTTCGGGATTGGCACCGGGACCCTGGGCACGGCCTAAACCTCCCGTACCGGCCGTGCGTTCGTTCCCCGGTGCGGCCCGCCTTCCCTCCCCGGTTCCTAGGCCCTCTCCTCACTCTTTTCCTTTCCCGGCAGCGTCTTCCTCATCCCGGCGCTCTTCACAGGCACTGAGGCCTCGGGGCTACCGTAACTCCGAAAGCTTTTCCTTAGCGGCCCGTGGAGCGGCGGGAGGAGCTCGTTCAACATGAAAACGGTACTTTGAGTTTCGTGGTTTCTGAAGAAAAGTGCGGGCGGGGAGTCCCGAGGCTCTCACCGGAGCGTTCTGCTTTGTTCCAGCGACTCCGGCCAGCTGAGTGACACCTGTGCCAAGAGGAGCTGTAAAAGCACAGATTTCTTGCTCGTTCACTAAAAATTATTATTATTTTTGTCTTTTTTTTGCAAAACCGAACCCCTTAGTTAAGTCAGAATCGCCATTTCCGCAGCATGCGCTTTCTCTGAAATATTTAAAAGTTTTTTCTTGTGGTGCCCCAACATTTTACCAGGACTTTGTTGTTTGAGGTGGGCACAGCCCTGTGATTTGGCAGTTCTGGTTGTGGAACAGCTTTTTTTGTGAAAACTTGGAGCTCTGGGTCTGATTATTTTTTCTTTTATTATTTATTTATTTTTTTTTTAACCATGTGTAAGAAGTAGAATATACTTAAATTCTCCTATTATGAACATTGTTCTGGATTAAAAATATCCTTCCAGGTTTCTTGTGTAAGTAGCTTTCCCTCCTGGAGTTGCTTTTGGACTGGTTAATAATTTGTACCAGGCCTCAAATACAATAACTTGTACTTCAAACCTCTTGTTTTGTTGTTTGAGTTTCCTGGCCTAAGTAGACACAGCAATAAGCTTGTCCAATTTCATTTTCCCAGTTTTTCTGAATTCTGTTAGATTTTGTGTCTCTGGATCTGCATCTGAAACTTCCTCAGCAGGTGCTGTTGAATTCCAAGTAGCTTTCCCATGGAAAGATGGGTGGCAAAACCTCAATCCTCTCCTTTCTCAAGTGTTCCCAAAGCAGGGCTAAAAAAGGGGCTCAGAAAGAAGCTTTTCTATTATTAAAAGTTTTTTTCCCCTGTCCCTTTATGCTTAAATAACAGAAAAAGCACTTTATGTTGACGCAGTGGGTATTTTTTTGTGTTTTTGAAGGATGTATTAGAAAGCAAAGCTCCCACTCAGGAAATCTTTTCAGTGTAGGAATGTGTGTTCCTCACTTTATGACACAGCTTGGTGATTGGGTAGTTGCTGACAGGCACTGGACTGAAACCATTGTGCCCTAAATTTCCATCTTGCCCTTGGTTCATCTGCTCTTTGTCTCCTGATTTATTCTCAGAGGTGTAATCTTACCTTTGCAGTTGTACATACAAATTCTGTAAAGGTGTTACAGAAAGTCTGAGCTAATTCTGCTCTGCCCCTTTAGCAGGAGGTAAATGTGCTGTGAAGGCCTTGGGAAGCCTTTAAAAGATGCTGTGGTTGTTTTGTTGGTGGATGTGTAAGGAGCAGTTCCTTCTTTTAGAGTGCTTCTAAGGTCTAAGCTGTTTTCCAGCTGAAATTTGCAATTTATAGTTTCTGTCCTTGGAATTTTTCAACAAACTAGTCCTGGAATGGGAGTGCTGCATTTGCCTTCTGTGTCATTGCTCTTTGATTGAATTGTTGATACTTTTCCCTGGTCGCATCCCAGTTCCATGGTCACTCCACATTTCAGCCCTTCACAAATGTAACTTTCCTTTCTTTACCTGGCCTTTGGATTCTAAGATAGGGGTCAAAACAATCTTAAAGCTTTTTGTTGCACACATTTCACATCACTTGTGGGAGCCTAAAGGTCTGGAAGTTGCACAGTGCCCAAAATTATATAAAAGATGATCCTGTTGCAGTTCTTAGAAGTGTGTGACAGTCATACCAATCCAGGAGCAAATCAACCCCTTTTGGAGTTTTCAAATCCAATTCCTTTCTGCTAATACGTGTTTTTTAAAGTAACTTCTTGATGTTCACAATAACTTATAAACATTTATTTCAAAAAACACAGCCACACACTCAGCAGAGTGAGGAAAATACATTTGTAAGTAACAATATCTAAACTTGTAGATTATAATAGTGATCATAATAGTTCTGTGTTGTTTCTTTATTCACGTTGCATTTGATATTTAAAAGTTCTCTGTAGAGAAAGGCATTTATTGAGGACAGGGATTGGCATCTTGAAACTTTTTTTTTTGTTTGTTTGTGAGAAATTTGGGTGTTCTGAACCTGTTCTGTGTAAAAGCCAGTGAAATTTTCAGGTCTGCTTTGGGCTGCCTTTCAGAGGGCTCAGTCTTGTTCACTTGCTAGGCCTGTGTTGTTGTAGTCATTAAAATTGCATCTGTGCCTTATTGTCTGCAGATGACGGGATCAAACGAGTTCAAACTCAACCAAACTCCAGATGATGGGATTTCATCAGTAAAGTTTAGTCCAAACACATCTCAGTTTCTGCTCGTTTCATCCTGGGACACAACTGTTCGACTCTATGATGTTCCTGCCAACACCATGAGACTCAAATATCAGCATTCAGGAGCTGTCCTGGACTGTGCTTTTTATGTAAGTGTGGGAGGGTTTTTTAATTATTATTTTGCAGCTGTAGAGTGCCCAAGGTATGAGAAATTGTCAGTCCCTGAAATTAAAGAGGGGCCTACCTGTGCTTTTTTTACTGAATGTTTTCTCATGTGGCTGATGCTGTACTGTGGATCAAAACTCAGGTTCTCAAATGATGCCTCCCTTCTAAATCAGTTTTAGGATTACACTGCACCTAGATGGGACTTAGGTTGTCAGCCATTTAAAATCTGAAGAAATGGAAATTATTTGGTGTAGTGTCTCTCTGCCTTTTAAAAATTTAGTTTTACTTCTAAACTAAAGAAATTCATACCACTAAAGCACTTAAACATTTTGGAAAGCTGCTGTTTAAATCTGGGTCAGACTTTAAAATTTGTGTCTTAATTCCTATCCTGCCCAAACACTTGAAAGCAAGTCCTTTGTTATCAGTTTAGGATGCTGAATGCAGAGCAGCCATGGAAAAGTAATAAAGTAAATTTTATGCTTCATAGGATCCTACCCATGCCTGGAGTGGAGGGTTGGATCAGCAACTGAAAATGCATGACTTAAACACGGACCAAGGTGAGCAGATTGAATTCTAAATGCTGCCAGCAACTGACTTGAGCTTCAGATTCATGTCCTTACATGCGCTGAATATTCCTCAGGTGCTTTAGGTGGAGCATATTTAAGTATCTGGCAGAATAACCAGTGACCCTAACAAAGAGCACCTGAAAACCTGGAAGAATTTGGCATTGCCAGAAAGTTTGGTAGCTGCCTGCAGGATGCCTTGAATTTGTTTTCTGATGATAATCCTGCTCTACCAGGTTAGAGTAGGTTACAGTGGCTCAGTTACTTGGCCAGTAGCCAAGCTGAGCTAAACTGAGCACGATGTTTTTCAGAGCTTTGTGGTTTGGATGATCTTTTATGGCAGAGGATATATAAAGCTTTTGCTTTTGTCAAGCATGGCCTTGTACTACAGTTTTTTTCTAACAAAAT